TAACAAATATTCATGTGTAATTTGATAAATTTTTCTAAATTTTGTCGGAAGTTTGATGTATCTAAGTTTTGGAGAAAATATAATGAAAAATTGTTTCATGCATCGGGGACCACATTTCTATGTTTGCGGTCCCCGAGGTTTGAAGCATCCATCTTAAAGATTGATGCAAATAGGTGGTGTAACTAAAAATAATTGAAACTATCTGTCCAAATATTTTTTAATGGAATATATTTTTAATTTTCAAAATTTATTTATTTTTTCATATTCATGATCTACATGTTAGAGATCACATGTCCTTAAAAATTAGGTCAAAAAATCCATCTCAAAAATAGAGTTTTAAGAGGTGCCTCATTTTTGCATGGACAAAGAGAAATTGTGTTCTAAATAAATTTGGACATAGTTTTAAAAAAAGGTGTGGTTTGTATAAGGTTACAATTTTAAATAATCCAATTAAGGGGCACCTCCAAATTTTATCATAACATACAAATTTGGTGTAAAAAATTCTTAGGATTATTTAAAAATCTATTTTTATATTTAATTATAAAATTTTAAACTCTAAAAATGGTTAAAATCAAGTCTATTTATAAACATATAAAAATATTGAAAATGGACGGTCTAGATAATGTGTTACAAGATGCACTATTTATGGGACTCAAAAATCTTTTTTTTTTTTTTTTTTTCATATTCATACATGGAAAAAGTTTGTATAAGGTTGCAACCTTATATTATTGAGGAAAGGTGCATGTCACAAATTCTACAATGGAGAGTGTTCCCACATAAGAGAGCCCTCCAACTAATCAGCTCAATCTTGAGATGAATGGACATGAAAAAAAAAAAAAAGAATTCTAAGTTTAAAAAATAGTACATATTGTAAAAAGTCATCTGTACCATATGTTTTCAAGATTTTCAAGTGTTTATTGATCTGCTTACTCTGTACCATTTTTAAAAATTTAAAGTTTCTAAATGAAGATTAAAAGAGATTTTGAAGCCATCATAAGATTTTGGGAAAATTACATATATGTATCTATTATAGTTTGCGTTAATACGAATGTACCAAAAAGCTTCCGTTATTAAATGTCTGTCTTTTTTTTACCTTTCATAATGCAATTTTTTTTAAAAAGACAACTTTGCCCTTTTTCGGATGTTCAACATTCGAATTGAAGGGTTTTCAAGATGTTCAATATCCGAAAATTGCCTGAAAGTTTAACGTTCACATTTCCATTTTCAGTTGTTGAACAATTTTGTAGGCACATTTTCGGATGTTGAACATCAACATCCGAAAATGTGTCAGTTTCGGATGTTCCAAAAAGCTTCTAAATTTCAGATGTTTCATAAATCTTTAACTCAGTGGCATTCCGTGTGGTGAAGTCATTGCGATTATTAACCATATGCATTTGGATCCCACTGCGTACTGTCTTCAGTGTTTCATAGTGGAATACTTTAAAAAGGCATTTCAAACTCATTTGGGCCTGTTCCAAATAATGTTGAGTTGACAGGTATGTTCAACCAGACATTGTTGCCACCAAGGACTACACGCCTTCTCGTTAGGTCGAAAAAGCAACGAAGAATATCTGAGACCGAATAGCCGCCCATTATCAGGCCTTTGAAGTGCAAATGATGCGACACAGTGAGTTATAGTAGGAGGACATACAGATAACCGATAGAGTGAATTACATGTTGTCAATCTTGTGCTTTTGTATCGAATTATCAATTTCATGAATTAATTAATGAAGCGAATTCGGTGTTGTCAATATTGTGTTGTTGTACTTGGTGTTAGTGGGATTGGAATTCGGAGTTCCAGAAAGCATATTGCGAGATGTTTTAAGATGATATGTTGTTAGGAAGCATAATTTAATACCATAAAGATCTAACAGTCTGCTTTACCATAGCATAGAACAATTTATAGAAGTAAGAACAAAATTTTACTTAAAGTAACTATAGTTTACAGAAGTAATAACATAATTATAGAAGCATAATTTAATACCTTAAAGATCCATCAGCATGATTCACAATATCAGCCACATTTTAGAAAGCTCGCATTGCCATTTTCGGATGTTGAACATCCGAAAATAGCACATTTTTTGATGTTCAACATCCAAAAATATGACTGCAAAATTCAAGAAGGTTTCTAGAAGATCCAAAAACTGGTACATTTTGGATGTTCAACCTAACATCCGAAAATGTGCCTTCGAAATCGTTCAACAACCGAAAATGAGAATGTGAACGTTAAATTTTCGGGATGTTGAATATCCGAAAAACCCTTCAATTCGGATGTTGAACACCCGTTAAAGTTGTCTTTTTTAAAAAATTACGTTATAAAAGATAAAAATGAATAGACATGTATTAACGGAAACTTTTTGCTATATCCATAATAACGCAAAATATAACGGATATGAATATAATTTTTTTTGAAATTTTCGATGCCCAAAGAACATCTCTCTTAAATTTTATAAGTGCACTTGACTTCTATAGAATAAGGAGGCAACCTTATACAAACCTCACCTTTTATACGTATCTGTACATGTCAAGATGATCGATTAGAGATTTTTCCAGCGCTAAAACAACTTTTTTGGATGAATTTTTTAAGGTGCATCTATAATGCTACACTACCCTTAAGTTGAAAACTTTTTCCTTCAAAAAATTCGTATATTTTCAAAGTAATCTTTTAAATAAGGGATGATATAATATGATATTTCTGATAAAATACACGAAAATATTTTCCCTTTCGGAATATTATTTTTAGAGAGCACGCTCCCTAGAGATCCTGTATTTTTTAACGCTCTCAGCGGCCGTAGTGAGGGAAAACATGGCAAGAGTCGCTGCCGCTACTTCGTTTGTCAGAAGCAGATGTATCCCGCGTTCTTCAACGTTCAGAAATGGCATAAACCCTTCTTGTTCTTCGGAACCCACTTTCAATCGTTTCACCTCTTCCACTCCATCATCTTCCACTCGCTTGTCCAGAGATAGAGACTCGTTTATATCCAGGTATCTCTTTTCAAATTCCTAAAAAAAATGGACAAAGAAAGAAACAGAGACCTTATTTGTTTTGTTCTACATATTAGTTTGTTCTTTGGTTATGACCCATCTCTTCCTTTGATCCTTTTCAAATGAAATTGGTGAACAATCCTTTGATTTTCTTTTTGGAAATTTCTCTTATCTGTTCCTGTTTATGATTGTTCCAAATGAAATGGGTGAAGATCGTTTGGTTCTCTATTTTGAAACTTAAGAATCTCTTATTTGTTTATGTTTTGTGGGTTATTTTTGTTATTTGATTATGGCCTATTTCTTCATTTGTTTCATATGGAATGGATAAAAATATGGCTTTATGATACTCTAACTTTTATTTTTTTGATGTTAACATATAAACTGTTAATCACCCATCTCTATCTATTCATTTTATGCGTCTTTGGTTCGTTGCATGGATGAAAATTATTTTCTAATAACAATTTTGTGTATTTTATTATTTATTTATTTATCTGTAGGCTCCTTAAAAATGATATTTCTCTAATAGTATTCGTTTTCCATTATTTTTGTTGATTTACTCATTTAGGGGGCTCCCTGTATTGAGTTGTGTGGGTTCATTGGTTCCTTTGCATAGTGTAACCGCCTCGTCTCTACTTGTTTCTATGCTTTCTGTCAAGTCTCAAAGCTGGGGATGGCTTTCTGAAGGTACACTCCTTTCTTTTGCTTATCTATTCCCTTATGGTTTTATTTTAATTTCTACGGTTTATTTTTTCCCTTGCATACTGAGATGTTTATTTTAAAGGGTAGGAATGTGCTTATGTTTAATGCTGAATCTTGGTATTACTTGAGCATTTTGTTATTGTGGATGCACTGTATAGCTTGCAATCTTTCTATTTCTTTCATTTCTGTCGATATTGTTTTTTTATTCTTATTTTTTGTTTTAATTTTGAATTTTGGGTATGGAGAAGAGGGACCTTTCGATGTCTCATATCAAAGTATAGTCATACATGAATACCTTAGAACCAATTGTTTCTCATTCTAAGGGTATTAAATAAAAATATATATCAAAATTGTTTTTTTCCCCCCAATTTCAATTTTCCCAGCCAAAACTCATACATTTTGGCGGCAACTTCTCTAGTTGATTGCTGTGCTTTGATGGACCACGTAATGTGCTCTGTGGCTGCATTCAATTGCTATGGACTAGTTCTAATTGTTATTTTTTTGTTTTTTTTCTGTCATTGTGTTTTGTTCTTGGACTTTTGGTTATTGGTTGTACTTGCTAAATACATGGTATTTAGCTGGATGCTACTGTTTCTGCTTTCTAGTTTCTTTTAATAGTATTATACTATGCTTGTTTTCTTCCTTAACCGCTAAATATATTCTTTTGTTCTTTATGATATTTGATGACTTGATTAGATTATTTTGTTTTGGATTCTGGTTATATTGGAGAAGAGAGACAAAAAATGTCTCAGTTACTCTACCAGTGACTCAAACATCATATGTAATCGTGACAAAGTCTACTATTACATACACATTCATGTTGTTTTTTGTCTCCTTTTAAAGTTTGCGATTTTGGATTTTTTTTTTTTATATGTACTGCTCGCATAAGGCATCGAGGCACACAGCACGTGTGACCAGCCTAGCACCGTACACTGCATCCTGCATTTGATAACCTTGACCTAATGATAAGGAAAGTATGGCTTCCATTGAAGAAAGTTTCCCTTGCTCCATCTCCCTCATGGGCCAATTTCTATTTTATTCATTATTGTTTTAAGCTTACTCAATCTTATCTTGTTGTCTTTCCTCTTGGCTTATAGCCTAGATTGCTTCTCTCTGGATGATCACTTAGACAAGGAGATAATTGCTGTATCGCTTCAACTAATTGTCAATTACTTGTCACACTTATGGGATTTAGTTCGTGATCTTACTCCTTGGAATTGGTTGATTGGATTGTCATCTCCCTCACCCTTTACTATCTTCAGTATTTGTGCTTGTGGCCAATATATTCATAATATCAGGAACCATAATCTGGCGATAACCCACTTTGGTGTCTTTTAGTGCATGATTATTACGCCTAAGCAGGAAATGGGCTTGGGCTTGAGTGGTTAGCAGTTAACGTCAAGAAATGCTACATCTCAAGTTTGATTCCTATCACTGAATTATCCAAACAAGAACAAAAAAAAAAAGATTAGTTATGCCTAAGTGATTTGCCATTTTTCATCGGGTTATATACATGGTTTTTTAGTCGTAGCTGAATTATCTCATGTTTGCCATTTAATAGTCGTGGTTTCTGTTTGTTTCTGGGCTCCTCTTACATCTTGGAAGCAAGAAGCTCTAGATTAGAAATTGAGTATTTGGTAATGTCATCTACTTTGAGCCATATTTGGATTTTAGCTCTTCTTTGTAATGTTGGGTGTTCTTAATTCTGATCTTCTTTCTACACAGTTTTTTGGTGGTAATACTGGGGGTACTTGGATTGCTTCAATTCTGTTATTTTTTGAATGGAAGAAGCAACTGAGGTTGATTAGTGTTCCATTGACCTCAAATTTAAATGGGGTTGAGGTAGGCTCACAAATAGAATTTGGAAAAGATACGAAAGAAGGCAAATCTTTTTATATACGTGTTTTTTTTTTGCCCCCACAGATCTTTTTATATACGTGTTTTTTTTTTTTTGCTTTCCAGTATGCCTGGAGATAGATCCGATCATCCAACATGCTGAAGTTTACAAGGGGAGTCACGTTACTTCTTGATTACCTCTCCCTATGAACAATTTTTTTTTTGGGTGAATCCTATGAACAAATTTGGGTTATCATTAGTATGGACTATTTAGGGTCACTTGCGATTTCCTTTGGTTAATGAGCTATCCAACCTCTTTCAAAGCGAACCTTCCTCTTTGTCATCTTATATGCCATTTACCAAGCCATTAGCATCTCAACGTTTTCATCATGCTTTGTGAAATTCCTAGAAAAATCCTCATCTATTATCACTCTCATGTTGCTCTCGGATCTTTTTCTTGGAAACAGCTTTCTAATAACTTGCTTCTTCCACCCTCTTGTTCACTGACACTATGTAGCTATCATATCCAGCGAATTGGTGCTGCTGCTACAAATGCCACTGGAGATTGAGCAGCCTTGTAGTTCACTAATGGCGCATTTCTAGTACTCTTTTTTGTTCTCAATCTACCTTGAATTTGCCAGCTGCATAAAGTGTTTGTCAAAGTACGAAGATTGATTTAGTTTCTTTGCACCGATGGCCTCTCCTTTTGTGCTCCCTGACTTGGGCCTCTGCCTATGTTAGTTAAAATTAAAAGAATTGGAAGTGCGGCATGGAGCATGTGGTGGTACACCTTGCTTTCTTCAAAGTGTGTACCATCAACATACTTGTACAAGTCCATTAGAAAAGCTGACTTGAACTTTGGTGCTGAGGTCAACTGACTTGAACTTTAGTGCACACCCAGAAGGGTGTGCACTATTCAACTATGATCCTTAAAAAAGAACAGCAAACATTTGTTATATCATTCATTGTGTGTAACATTCTTGCACTTTTATCTATAAGCTCCTCCTCCTCCTCGCCATCATTATCATCATCATCCAAGCCTCATCCCAACTACTTCTTAATCAACTTCAAGCCTCATCCCAACCATTTAGGGTCTGCCACATGGATCCTGTTTTGGCATTCCGCTCTATCAAGGGCTATACCCTCAGTCAGAGGTAAGTCACTTTATCTTTTCACACTACTTTGATCCATGTCCTTTAGGGCCTTTGCCATGCCATTTTATAGCCTTTCACTTGAACCAAATCACTTCACCCACCGGTGTTGTTATAGGTTGATGCTACATATGACCAAACCACCTAAATCTACTTTCGCTCAATTCATTGCCTATTGGAGGCGGCTTTCCCAAATTTTCTTTGTATGTGTTTACTGCACCTGGGTGCCCTTGGGGCGCGTCGCTTCTAGTGAACGCCCTAGCTAACACTTGCTCATTTCTCATTACGCTTGGGTGCCCATACACTATGTCGCTTACAAGGAATGCCCTAGCACGAGCATATAAGGTTGGATCAGGATTCGTGATAGGGATGTGGCAAAAGTTTCCTGTTGGCTGTAAACCTAACACAACCCTTTCTCATCCGGGCTTGGGATAGGCAATGGCAGAGCTACTCTAAGGGTGGCAATGGGCTGCTCGGCTTAGCGCTGCAAATTAGGGCCTGTGCCGGGCCACCGTGGCCTGAGGGCCCTGTTGGGCTTGGGCTTGGGCCAATATAGGGCCAGCCTGACCTGGCCCTTATTTCCTTTTTTTTAAACATTTTATTAACCCAGCCTTGGTAGGGCCAAGGCCAGGGCCTCCTTGGCTTGGGCCCAAGCCCGGGCTAGGGCCCAAGCTAGGCATGTTGCCAGCCCTAAGTTACTCGAATCGATAAGCTAATGCATGACTTATAAAGGTTACATACTAAACTCGAGAGGGAGGGTAAGTGCTCCACAAGGCAGATGTGATTTGCCATGTGGGTAGTTTAATAACGGTTAACATGAAATTTCAATAGGTTAGACCATCTCTAGGAACGTTTATACTGGGTTTTCACCGAGATTCTTGCGATAGATACCAGCCTAAGCTTAAAGTTTTTCTACCTATGAATTCTCTCTCTCTCTCTCTCTCTCTCCCCCTCGCTCTCCAAAATAAGAACGATCGATTTTTTACTGTTAACAAAATAATGTTAGTGATCATTTAGAAGGAAGGATAAGTACACTGACAATATAAAATACATTACATTACTTCTTCGAAATTGCAAAGAGACATCCCAGCGATTATTTCTTATTTTGTTTTTATGGGAGATTGCAAATGACATAGCAAGACAAAGTTCACAGAAACATGAAGCACACTGCATTAATGCAAAGTCCCAAAACCCACAAGCTTAGCCCCTCCCATCTACTAACATCCCCTGTACTCAGAACTTCAGTAATTAATTGTTATTGAATTGGCTTCCCTAGAAATGGGATTTGTTACACATTTACATGCTATAGGGTCCAAGCCTTATCTAAAACCCCCACCCACTTTTTATTTTCTATTGTTTTACTATCTCATCAACCTGATAAAAATTCTTCCTTAACATGTAGTTACTTTTGAAACGTTTCATAGGAAGCTGGAGCTTCAGGCCATGAAGAGCTATTCATGCCTAAAGTTTTGACAATGTTCATTCAACAATCTATATAATCTTTCTTTCTTTGCCCTAGACGAAACCTTCAAATCCATATGATAGTAATTCCCCTCTGAATATGCTGTCAGAAATTGTTCATGTAAAAATTGCATTTGGTGGTGGATCACTGTCAGCTCTAATATTGCTACTAGAGAATATAAAGGAATGCCATCACTACACCTATAGAACATAATTCATGTAACTTCTATTTTCAACCACATGCGTCACTCCTTTCCAAAAACTTGACTCTCATAGGCTTCACACCTTTTTAAGATTTAGAGAAGCTTTTCTTTCTTCTCTCATTCTAACTCCCCTAAACTTTATTTCCTACTATGTTCTCTTTTCACTAATTTCTTCCATTACTGGCCACTCTCCAAGACCATCTATAGAGCACAGCTCCATTTACTTCTCATTTCCTTGCACGCATACTGCTGAGTCTCTTGGATGTTTGTTTCTATGATTAGTAGATTCTTTTAGTATTTTCAGCTGCATTATGATTATCTAGTAATGAGTGAT